CATAATAATAATTACACCAGGGGGACATGCTCAGGTGTCATTATTATTTTTATACAGCATTACATCATAGCCCAGCAGTGCCACACCTAACCCGACCACCCCCCATCCCCTTCTCCCCCCCACCCAGATAGAAGCCCAACCCAGCAGTCATGTGCACTCACCGTGGACAGGAGGAGGATGAGACTGCAGCCATGGAGGGAGGAGGGCAGGACCATGAAGCAGTGTGTGCAAAATCTATCGTCCTCCTTTGCTGAGTGGGAGGTGACATCCCGGGCTGCAGAGATCTTTGCTGCACATAGGGAGTGGGACAGGAGGCTGCTGCCCTCTAGTGTCAGAAAGCGGTAGTGCACACTAGACGGCTGGTACAGAAACGTTTCAAACTTTCACCAGCTCTAGTTTATGGGGTGCAGGGCCCCACAACAATGATTGGGCCCCGGGCAAGTGCCCCTTTTGCCCTGCCTTAAAGATGGCCCAGCTCAGAGGACTATCCCTAATACCCAGTAAGGCTCAGTGGAGCCAACTTTTATTTGTTTATGTCAATTTAATTTTTTGGCTGGATGCCTGTAACCTGGCATTTTTGTTGAATAGACTGCGAGTTTGCCTCTACAGAGATACTTTTTCCCTACAATAAGTATTAAATAAATATTGGGGACCCTAGGGAAAAACAGGCATTTGTGACAGAGTCCTTTTAAAAGAAAACACATTTTATTCCTTCCATAGCCAACAAAACGAATAGCTTCCTTCAGCAGAATGGCAAAACAACAGGCTTTCTCCAGCAGAAACAGAAAATACAAAGCAAAAGTCCTCCAACGATATTGCGGGTTTCAGTGGTCTCACCTAGACAAGTACATCTGCTTCTGAGCAGCCACACAGAGATTTTTTTCCTCTCGCTCTTACCTGTGTAAAGCTGGCCATACACTGATCTATTATATTTACCGGCTGAACAAAAAAAATAGACCTGAATCCTCCATCAATGCTAACAGCGCGCTGATCGAGGAATCCCACTGTTTACATTGTATTCTATCAGGTGCTGCCAGCCTCTGTCAGAATACCCGACCAGAGTGGGCAGCTTATTGGCTGCCTGCTCTGATCGATCGAAGGTTTTATGATCGGCTCCTTTGATCAGCTGATTGAGGGATCCAGATCGAAAGGGTGCCGAGAGCAGCACACACTGTGCGAATTTCGACCAGTGTATGGGCGCCTTTACCTTTTTATTAGCAAGGGCTGGAGGGGAAGCATCTGCCCTCC